GTATTTGATTCAAAACTAAATTTACTATCAGCTAAATATTTGACGTAAATAATATACTATTGTTGTGGAGGGAAAAAATCAGGTCAAATTAAAAAAATATTTCGGAATTTTTGTACTAGTGATTAAAATGTTAATTTTTATATTATTTATATTTTTTTTGAGCTGTAAAAATTCCTCGTATTCGTATTTATCAATTTTATTAGTTTTTATGAGCAAATTATATCGAAATTTGGTTCATTTTTAATTTTAATTTAAATTGCCCAAGGTGCGTATGATTGATAATAATTTTGAGGACCATAGAGAAAAATTGCAATAATTTGAAAAGTTCTAAATGGATTTCAAAACTTCGAAGGGTTTTTGATTCAAAACTAAATTTAATATCAGATAAATATCTGACGTAAATAATATACCATTGTTGTGGACGGAAAAATCAGATCCAATTAAAAATATATATATTTCGGAATTTTTGTATTAATGATTGAATTGTTTTCTATCATATTATTTATAAATTTTTTGAGCTGTAAAAATTCCTTGTGCTCGTTTTTACAAATTGCATAATTTTTAATGGGAAAATTATAGCGAAATTGAATTTATTTTTAAATTTTATTCATGCGTTACAGGGTGCGAATGATTGATAATAATTCTGGGATGCTTTGAGAAAAATTGTAATTATTTAAAAAGTTCCAGACGGACTTTGAAAACTTATACGGTTTTTGATTCTAAACTAAATTTACTATCAGGTAACTATGTGACGTAAATAATATATAATTGTTGTGGAGGAAAAAAATCAGGTGCAATTAAAAAAAATATTTCGGAATTTTTGTATTAATGATTAAAATTTAACTTTTTATTTTATTATTTAATTAATTATTTTTTTTTTTTTTTTTTATCTGTAAAAATTACTTGTGCTTATCAATTATGTTATTTGTTATGGTCATATTATAGCGGAGTTTGGTTTATTTTTAAAGTTTATTCATACGATACAGGGTGCGAATGATTGATAATAATTCTGGGGTGCTTTGAGAAAAATTGCAATAATTTGAAAAGTTCTAAATGAATTTCAAAAATTCAAAGGGTTTTTTATTTAAAACTAAATTTACTATCAGTTAAATATTTGACGTAAATAATATACTATTGTTGTGGAGGGAAAAAATCAGGTCAAATTAAAAAAAATACTTCGGAATTTTTGTATTAATGATTGAATTGTTTTCTATCATATTATTTATAAATTTTTTGAGCTGTAAAAATTCCTTGTGCTCGTGTTTACAAATTGCATAATTTTTAATGGGAAAATTATAGCGAAATTTAATTTATTTTTAAATTTTATTCATGCGTTACAAGGTGCGAATGATTGATAATAATTCTGGGAGGCTTTAAGAAAAATTGCAATAGTATGAAAAGTTCTAGACGGATTTTGAAAACTCATACGGTTGTTGATTCTAAACTAATTTTGCTATCTGATAACTTTGTGACGTAAATAATATATTATTGTTAAGGAGGAAAAAATCAGGTCCAATTTAAAAAAAATACTTCGGAATTTTTGTATTAATGATTAAAATTAACTTTTTATACTATTTATAACAATTTTTGAGCTGTAAAAATTTTTGTGCTCTTGTTTATAAATTTTATTAACAAACAAAAAACAAAATTAACAAATTGCAGCGAAATTTGGTTTATTTTTAATTGTTATTTAAATTATCCAGGATGCGTATAATTGTTAATAATTTTGAGGTAATTTGGGGAAAATTTCAATAATTTAAAAAGTTCTTAATGGATTTTGAAAATTTGAACGGTTTTCGATTCTATACTAAATTTACTATTACCTGATTGAATGGCATAATGAATAAAATACTGATTTAGACGAAAAATTAAATTCAAATAAAAAGAAATATGAGAAAATTTTGTAAACATTTAAAATTTGCTTAAATTTAAATGGAAAATTATGAGTTTTAGTGATACAATATTCTCCAATTTATGAAAATATCTATAATCAAGAATTTGGGAAATTTTTACTCACGGTTGAAGTAAAAATTCAGTAAAATCAAAAAAAATGTTTGCCTCCTATAGTTTTAGTTGTTTTTTCTACTACTTTTAAAATTCCACAGAAAAAATAATTTAAAAAAATATATATTTTTAAAATTTATAAAAATATCCCTTCCTTCTGGAAATGGTGTATTACGGTTAGGAATTTCGAACATCATCTAATATATTTCACACACACAAAAAAAAAAACAACAAGAACAACACAATTTCGCATTTGCAGTAGTTGTATCAACAACAACAGCAGCAGCATCGGCATCCCCTAACTGGCGTCAAACCTCAACTCAACGCTAACAGCATCTCATTGAGGAGGCACTTGAAGAAGATGCATTTGCTTTGTGACCCATTCATTGCTGATAGATACTGTTGCCTTTTTTAAGCTTCCTCAGGCAGTTGTTGGTGTTTTTGTTGTTGATGTTATTTGTCGTTTAGCTTCAAGTTTGGTTACTTGTATTTCAAGGTTATTGGCTGTGGCGGCATCTGATTGGCGGCAAACAATATTTTATTTGATTTAGTTTAGTGTGTTTAGTTCCAATTCCAGGAATTAAATTGTATACCCCACTGCTCGCTCATAACATTTTAAGCAGTGCAAAAAGCACATACGTACATGTTGTTGTTGTTATTGACTTGTTTGGTCGCAATATTTTTGTTTTGGGGTGTATGCATGCCTCGGATGTGTGGATGCGGATGAGGACAATATGCCATGGAGTGCATTCGAAAATTATTTTTTTTTAATTTCTGGAAATTTAGAGCGAAAAAAAATATTGAACATATTTTTTTCTTGGTTTTTGATTAATTTCAATATTAGTCAAATATAAAATTACATTCACAAGAAATGTATGCAGCGAACATAAGGCGGTGACATTTGACACCAGGATCTTTTCCAATATCCATAATAAAAAATATACACATATGACATTTATATGGTGTTGATTGGGGAAGGTGGGAGAGTGAGGGAGAGACATTTGGGGAAAACAAAATTTGAAACCTTAGCTAGTCCCATGTATTGGTGAAAATCTCCAAGGACTAAGAAAACACAATGTTTAAAAAATTTGCAGTCATTTTCAAGGGTGAAAGGACATTTTTAAAAAGTTATATAATTTTTCTAATATATATAATAATGTATATTTAAAATAAAAATATTTAAAGAGAATTATTATAATTTACTTAAATTTCTAATATGAAAAATTAGAAAATGATTTAAGGAAATTAAAGGAATTAAAAAATCGTTAAAATAAACAAAAAAACATCCTTACAATGTTTAGCTCCAAAATATCCTTTACAATTCTCCTTTTAATTTTTAAGAAAAATCTTTTTCTCAATTTTTAAAAAAAAAAAAATGTTTTTTTGGTTTATTTTTAAATTTTATAAATTTTTGTAGTCTAATATAAAACTTAACATTTGGAAAAAATTTAAAAGCAACTTCGAATTTTTTATATATATAAATATTTATATAATTTTTAAACGAATTGTATTTTATTATTTTTAATATAAAATATTCGATTTTATTTAAAAAATATTTAAAATTTATTTTTAATATTTTTTAAAATGCTATTTTATTTTTTATTATTATTTAACAGAATTGAATGTATACAAAAAAGATTCCATACGATTTTTGTTAAAAAACATCCTTCAAATTTATTTTTAATATTATTTATTTTGTAAATATTTGTAGTCTAGTATAAAATTTTAGATTTGGAAAAATTTTAAAAACAAGTTCGGATTTTTTATATATATATATAAGTATTTATATAATTTTTAAGGGAATTGTTTTTTATTATTTTTAATATAAAATATCCGATTGTATTTTTTAATATTGTTATATTTTTATTTTCTTTTTTTAAAAAATATTTTTTTTTAAATATTTTCAAAGCGCGATTTTTTCATTTTTATTTAACATAAATTTATTTTTAACATTATTTATTTAATTTATATATAATTTTTATTTTATTTATTATTATTATTTTTTTTTTTTTTTGTTTTTTTTTTATAGTCTAGTGTAAGTTTTTTTCAAAAAAAACCTACTTGATTTTCTCAGAATGCAATTGAAATATTTTCTAACTCAATCCCAGTAAACTTGTAAACAATGTCTTTTTTTAAACAAATATGCATTGACAATTCAATTGAATTTTTTATTAATTTTCAATTTTTCTTCTTAATTTCATTGCAGCGTATAAACAAAACAAAAAACAACTCCAGGAAAACGAGAGAACCCCGCTCAACACATCCTGAAAAAAGTAAGCAAAACGCACAACAACAACAGCATCAGAACGCGGATTCACATTCATCAAGCAATCACCAAATATTGCATTGAACATCCACAACAACAACAACAAACAAATTAAAATAAATGCTAAAAACGCATTTTCTTGGGATTATAAAAATAACAAAAAAATCGGTTTGGCAACAACAACTTCATTTCATCACAAAAAACAACAACAACAACATTTGCTGTTATCAAGACAACAAGACAGCAGCAGCAACAACCCCGACAGTGGCCATTTGGAAAAAGTGTCGCTGTTCATCAAGGAAACGAAGAAAAATTCAAAATTCATGGTTTGGCTTTTCTAACGTTATTGATAATCCCAAAAACAACAACAAAATATCTTAAACAACAACAAATTCTTCATCATCATCAATATTGTCATTATATTTCTTTGAATGTCATCAAGTGCATCTGCAGCAGCAGCAACAACAACAACGACATTTTGTTTTATATGACATTTGGTTTTTTGATGTGAAAATTCAAAAACAAACGAAAATTATCTTCAAAATTATCTACAAAATTCAAAATCTACAAGAACAACAAAAAGAAAAACGAAACATCAACAACGTCACAACAAGTTTTGGCTAACTTCAGTAAACGGCCATTATTTTTTCTGTTACAAAAATTTGCATTTATTTGTTTTATAATTTAATTCTACAACAACAACAAAGGTGTTAACCCATCTAAAACAAAAAAACACATCAACATGGATCCCCAACAACAGTTTTGTTTAAAATGGAATTCATATTCATCAAATTTGGCCATAACATTCTCAAATTTATTCAAATCGGATTTGCTGGCAGATGTAACGCTATCATGTGATGGTAAGTAATTTCAAATATTTAGATATTAATTTTGAAGAATTTATGGGGGATAAAATATTTACTCAATATAACTGTTTACAAAATAAAATTATCAATTTGAGTATTCACAAATTGGTAGATTTTAAAAATCCATAAATAGGCAGTGTCATTTGAAGATTAAAATTGGTGCATATTTCCAGGCGTTTTGGGATATTTTGAGCTTCTAATAATGAATAGTTAGGCGTTTATATTTCTTTAATTGAAATATAATCTCAGACAAAACTCTAATTTCCATATTGCATTATACTAAAATTCTAAATTTCTGTCTTTACACTAATTTTTTTCTTTATCTTAAAATTCTAAATTTTATTTTCCATAGTAAGTTTCTTCAGGGAAATCAAAAGAAAATATATTGCATATTTTTAGGCAATTTTATTAAGTTTGAATAGCCTTCAGGGGAAAATATATATTTTCATGTAAAAAAAAATCTGTAAGTAGATTTTCTACACATGTACAAAATATTTTGCATATTTTTGGGGATTTATTTTTTATTTTCCACTAATTTTGAAAATTCAATAACTACGTGAATTTTTAAAAATTCTTCAGACTTTTTTGTACGTTAGAAAAAAAGTAAAAAAGTATTGTACATCTTTTTATAAATGTTTTTTAGTTTAAAGGTATTGCATACTTGTAGGCGAGTGAATACTGAAGTAAGAGAACGCTGAAAATAATCTCTACTTCTTGTAATTTTTAAATTCTTTTTAATTGATTGCGAAGTCCCAAATTTTATTTTTTTATAAATATTTATAGAATTTAAATGTACAACATACTTGCCGGAGTTAGGTTAGGTTATGTTTGAAAATACCTAAAATAATATATAATCGTTTTAATCTCGTTTAAATCTATTTCAAATAATTTCAAAAGTACGAATTTGATTTTTTATAATCGATAATTTAAATGTATTGCATACTTTAAGGCATTTGATTAATTAATTTTAATAGACCAATTGCATACTTATAGGCGTTTTATTAAGAATGTTAGAAAACCTCTGAAATAACCTCTAATATGTTTTAGCTATTTTCGAAAATATTGTTAATATATGTACACTAGAGCGGGCCAATTTATATGGAGCCGAAAAAATTCGATTAAATCCAAACCCTAGGATGATTCTATGGACAATTCTAAGCAACTTTTTGGAAGGAACCATAGGTCTATCTCGATTTTCGAGTCTCCCACTATTCAAAAAAAAATTATTATTTCCCTATAAAATCATTTTGATTCAAATTTTGATTTTTTTATTCATCGTTATATTCATTTTTGATTTTTATTTTTACCGATGACAACCGCCAAATGGCGTTTTATGCATATTTTAACTATTTTTCGTCTATTTTTTTGAGAAAAATTACAATTTTTCGATAAAATTTATCTTTATTTTTATCTAATAAATTTGACCCGCCCTAAACGTTTTGTAAAACCACCCATTTAAAGGTTCATGTCGATTTTTAAACATTTTCAAATTAATAATTTTCAACCGAATTTACATCAGCATCGCAGTCATTAGAAAACATTTTGGCAGAAATTTTATGCTGCCATTATGGGCGAATTTTCAGCGTTTTTTAATTTTGTTATCCCAAAATTGTACACATTTCTTTTTTTAATATTGCATACTTTTGGATTGGCTTGAAATTCATTTAATTTTGTTCAAAATTTCATACTTTTGGGTGGCTTTGGAATACTCCGCTTGTTAAATTTTTTATCTTCTGTTTCCAATTAAATTTATTGAACTCAGAACTACCTGATTTATCCGCTTTTAATAAATATTCCAAAAACATTTTCTTCAATATAGGTCCATATTTTTTGTGAAGCCGCAAAAATGGTACCTGAAGATATTTTTTGTCGTATTAATGACATGTATTTAAATGCATTATATCAGTTGTTTAACATTGATATTGAAAAAAATTTATCATTAAATGTGGCATATTTACAGGAGATATATAAAAATGTACTAAATTTTTAAGAAGTTTTAAATGTAATTCTTGGAGTTTTAAAAAGATTATATTAGAAAATATTTTACGAAACAAATGGTTTCATATTTTATATTTATATATTGTAAAAAATATAAAATTTGTAAAAAATTATTGCATACTTGGGGATGTTATTAGAAAATTTAATTGTAGCACCCATTAAGGCGTCCTATATATAAATTATACTTCTCAATTTATGCTTTATTGGCAATTCAGTTTACATATGCACAATTTTGAAGAAACTTTGCATAATTTAAATATTTAAATATATATTGCCTACTTTTAGGTGGTTTAAAAAATATTTTGTTATTTTTCTTCGCATTAATTTTCAAGGAGTTTTGGTTTCATGTTTCTCATCTTTCTCTATTTATTATCTCCTAAACTTTTTTATTTCAAATTTTGATAATTTAAGAACTAGTGCATAAACAAATATGGTGGAAAATATCAATATACTTTGCATATTTTTAGGCGTCACAGTGCAAAACATTTCCCTTCATTTCCATTTCCTTTTTTTAAATTTTGAAACATTGTTAAAGCCAAGAATCCGAACTCCACATTTTGTTTGCCAAAAAAAATCTTCAATAATTTTCCATTTAAGCATTTGAACTTTGAGCCATATTTAAATGCGTATTATATATGTCTGTGTGTCTACATACACATACATAGATATTTGACATTGATTTAATGTGTTTTTCGTTTTTTACTTTCATTTACATAGATTTTGTTTTTTTTTTCAAGTTTCTTGTCCTTTCGCCTCAAGACGACATCTTGAGAAAAATCACAAGTATTTTCCCTTTTTTCGTGTTTTTTTCTTCATTTTTTCTTTTTCATGCATTGCCTGTCTGCCGGCATTTGATGTGTTTTTTTCTTCTTCTTCGGGTTTTTTATTATTATTTTTATTAGCATTTCATATAAAATTGAAGATGAAGAAAAAGTCATAATAATAACACCACCTCCCAAAAAAATGAAAGAAAAAAGGACGATGATTTGAAAAAGGAAGAACAAGAAGAAGAAGAAACAGAAAAATCATATCAAACATTAAAATTGTGTTTACAATGGCATAGCATTATTATTCGAAATTTCTTCGTATTGTTGTTGTTGTTTGGAATCTTATGTTAGGTCAGGTATTTTTTATTAGATTTTTATTTGTTGTAGGACCGGTTTTTTGTGGTTGTTGCTGATACCTTTCTTAAGGTTTTGTGAGATTTGTGTCACAGCAGAAAATATATAAAGCAATTGAAGAGTTAAAAGTAAATATTTATAAATGCAAAATTAGTTTTGTATTTTTTTTGATAGGAAAAATAAATAAATAAAACAGCAAACCTAAAAGCATGCAAAAAACTGGCAATTTACTTAAAGGTATATCAGTTGTATAATTGTGGGAGTAAATTTCGAACTCCTCCTAAATAAATTGCAAGTATATGGCATACTTTTAGGGATACAATTTTATTTATTTACTTTTTCCTATAAAGCTAATCTATGATGTAATTATATATATTTTTTTAGGATATTAGAGAAAAAAATGAAATTGGGTTCCTAAAAGTATGTAAAAGATTTGCAATATATTTACATTTATTTTAGTTGTATAATTGTAGGAGTTTAAAATAAAATACTTCCACGATTATACAACTATAATAAATTTAAGTAAATTGCAATTATATTGCATATTATTAGGAGATCAATTTTTTTTATTTATTTTCCCTAGAAAAAAATACATTATTTTGTGTACTAAACAATTTATTTCAAGAAGACCAGCCTAGTTTTGTGTAATTTTAATTAATTAAATTAAGACACTAAGGAAGAATATTTGTATTATTTTTGCCTGAAAGTATGCTATATTATTATATATTACATAAATGAACAGAATTGCTTGTATAACAGTATTGAACAGAACTACATTAAGAGTAAGTGCGTGAGAGCGTAACTGAGAGATCATCAATAAAAATGACTGACGCAATGAGAGACAAAGAGAAAACGTGTTTGGCTATCACCGCTATCGTACTATTTTGTGCATTATGGTTGTATAAAAATAACATTTAGCGATTTAAAAATAGTCGATTCATATTAATTTTTAGTCAGTGGGTTTTTTTTTGGCGATTTTTGTTACCAATTCTATCCCTCACCTCCCCTCGTGCAATTTTCTTGCAATAACAATAAATGAATACATTTATGAAACACTTTCGCTTTATTTTCATATTCAAAACAAATGGACAAAATAAATATATTTACAATCGCCTTGAGTTATATATCTCGTATATGAAGTATATTAACAAAAAATGCAAGTCCCGTTTTACCCCTCCTTACTTCCATTGTAATAACACATTCATTACTGGCATTACAATTCATATAGATATAATAGATATAAAATGGACATATATGTTTTATTTTTTTGTTTTGGTTACTAAAAAATAATGAAAAATATTTTTGGATATGATGAATATTAATCTAAGAATGTGTTATTGTAAAAAACAGCAACAACAAACCTCTCCCCCAAGTCGAAAAAAATTGAAGACCCAATGCGCTTCATTGCAAAATTCAAATAAAACCAAATAAATGGAGAAGCCTACCACAATTCTTGTGATGGTCCCAAAATTCAAACCAAAATGAATTGTCATCATCATCAGCAGCAGCAGCATCAAACAAAAATCCATGGCACACAAATTCCGCACTCAAACATAGTTCCCCCTTTAGAATTTTTTCTTGTGGGCGGGTGGGGAGTGAATCCATATTTTTTTTTGCAATTGTTTTGTTTTCATTACAGACGATTTTTTCGAGTTTGTTTGGGGGACTATGTGGGTTTTATGATTTTTAAATAGAAATATGTGCATATTAAAAAACCACAATTTTCACAAATGTGTCTCCAAGCAAAACAAGAACTCTTTCCCCCACCCTCCATTCATTCTCTCGCTGATGCATCAAACCCCCTTTTGAAACAAAATAGTACTCGAGAAAAAAAACAACAACAACCAACCAAAAATTTCTTGTTCAATAAATTGT